AATCATACCTATCTCATAAAGTCATTTGAGGGTTAGTGTATTAAAATATGTAGAGCACTTAGAACAGGGCCTGGCACATAATAAATATTAAATATGCATTAATTATTGCTATTATAGTGTTATTAATATTATTTCTATAAGAATTTTTAACTGGTTCATCTATCCCCAGACTATCACCTCCATTCCATCCTGCATTTAATTCAGTAATTATTTTCTTCATGATACATTGGTCTTCAGTGGTTCTCAAATTACCCAATTCCTCCATTTGACATTCTTGACTTGCAATAATCAATCTCCACCCACTCGTCTTTCCTTCTCTTTGCTCCCCAGTGCGTCTCCTCTGCTCCTTTCAGCATGACCTACTTGCTGTCTCCTGTGGAAGTCTCACCTTTGTTTAGGCTGCTCTCCTTCCCACCTCACCTTTGTTTAGGTTGCTCTCCTTCCCCAGAAAAACCCCTTCCCTTCTACCTGTCTCAGTTCTAACTACTTCTCAGGGCCCAGCCCAGTTCTACGTCTATTGCAGCAGAGGTGGTATCTGTTGGGCTTCCCCATGTGCATCTCTAATGACATGAAGCAGAATGCCTGGCACACCGTGTCTGACAAATAGTTCTGTCTTGGTTCTCTCTCTAGTATTCAGCATCACAGACTTTAGAACTGCTTGTTGCTTGATTGACAATTGATTTAGGAATATATGTTGTATCAGTTTAGAAGGCCTTCAGTTACATGTCTTAGAAGACCACATTCATGGAAGGTTAAACCCTGAGGATATTTACTGTGTGAGTCCAAAGTTTCATCAACAACTTAAAAATGTCTTCCTACCCTTTGTTTTCACCATTCTCAGCCAATTGGATTTTCATCTATGTGCTTTTTACCTCAACATCACAAGATTGCTGTTGCACCTTAGGCATGTGTCCTTACATACATATCCCAAGACGGAAGAAAGTACTCGTGACAAGTGTGTCATCACTGGCTTGAGAGGCTAGAAAAAGGAGTGTATGGGAAAGGAGAAAAGGGGTGCCATGACTGGCTTAGATAATCTTCACTCAGGGCAGAGCACATTACTACCTAACAAAATTGGAGTTCTATTGGGAAAAAGAGAAAAATAACTCATGAGTAGACACCTTGATTAATGTCTGCTGCTCTCTTGCATTTTTCCCTCTCGACCACAGTCTTCCTTGAAGGGAAAAATAACATCTTTATTCCCCAGAGAGTACAGTACAGTCTTGAAAACGTAGCAAACACTCAGTAATCGTTTCACTGCTGAATTCTTCATTGCTCTTTGGGGTACTTCGGATGCCCTCACCTCAAGTCCATTTCAGAGTCACAGACAGCTCCCTACTTTGAGAGTAAGAAAGGTTCCAACAAGCAAACTGTGAGCTAATAGACACCTAAATTTAGCACAGTGTATGTGAACTCCTGCAGAAGCTCAAAAGTCAAAATACAAATTTTGAAAAGTTTTTTGTTACTATCTGCCTCATGTAAACATTATGTCCTTCGCTGACCTGGAAGTCCTTTAATTATCTTTTCAGGAAGCTTTGCTGAGAGCGTAGATTCTAAAGCTCCCAACCAGGGCAGCCTCCTGACAGCTCATGCTCTATAACAGGCGTCACCTCCAAATAAGAGTTCCTTTCCCCAGATATTATTATCTGGCACAAAGTAATTAACATCTCCATCAAATAAAATCTCTGATTGCATCATATGGTCTCAGCTACTCGAAAGCCACCCACCCATCTGGTTGCATTAATTTTGCCATTTGCCAGCATGTGGGTTTGTGTGTAGTGAGGGTGTGTGTGGGAGAACGGAGGACTGTTGGGTGTTTGGAGTAACACGTTACCACATGTGCATGGTTGGGTTTGTGATGTGTACCCAATCACTTCATCCCTCTGCTCAAGTTAGAAAGGGACAGATGCTCCTGGTCACACCACTCTTGGATTAAAACTCTGATGCATTCCCTGCTCAGTGTCTCTGGAGAGCATCACATTGTGGAAGAGATTAATGTTTTACAATTAATTGGATGAAAAGATATAACCTAACAATTCCTCAGCTATGAAAGTGAAATTCTATAGGTCAAGAAAATAACAGCAATTCTAGATAAAAGTCACCCTGAGTTTTTGAGCCACTGGAGAGAAAGATATATAGAAAAAGAAAAAGAGGTTACTTATGTATTCCCAAATTATGCATAAGCAGATTAATTTGTACACATTGTCCAAAATTGGAGTGGATAGAGAAGAATTCCAAATAGTACCAGATGATTTGGTTATGTAACGCTCTATGCCCGCATGTTTTAGACTCAATGCCTTACTTTTCTTTCAGCTGCTTTGAAAGCACATAAACACAATAAACAAATCTGCATAGGCATAGGGAGGAGTGGCCCGATTTATATAATAGTTATTGTCAAAGCTAGGAAATATTCAACACAGCGCCTTGGACTGTCCAAAGTTGCTTTTCATAAAGCTATCCTAAGAAGTCATTAAGTAAATACAGATGACATAGCAGATGTGTTACTGTAACTCATGAATGGCTAGTCCATAGATATGTTGAAACAAAATTAAAAACATAGGGTATAGACATTTCACACAAGCTAAACATTGCAATGATTACCACCTAACAAGCAATTAGAGTTGCAAGTTTTATCCATTATTTCAATATGCCTTTTTGTTTCGTTTTGTTTTCAAAGGTAACATGCCAACCCAAACTGGAACGAGCACTTGATCTCCTCTGCTCATACCGGCTGCAATGATCTTGCCTTGATATTAACAATTACAGCTCTCAGGGAGGTGTGGGGTGACTGGAAGGCGCAGAGAGGGAAATGGTCAAAGTGGCTCTACACCCCACTGTGTTCATGACTGTTCTTTCTTTCCCATTGTTTGCTCTGACTCATTTTCTTAGACCCAGGGAGCCCATACTGATGTTCCCACCAAGAGAGATGGAGGAAGAGTCAGTGTCATGGTTAGAGTGGAGGTTGTGGATGGGTGAAATCTGGCTCCAATAAGCTTTGACTTGGGAAAGTTGCTTAATTTTTCTAAGTGTCATTCCCCCTCACCTTTTTTGTAAATTGGGGATAATAGCACTAACTACCTCATAAGATTATGAGCAGATCGAGTGAAATAATTACGTAAATTATTTAGCCCATAATAAGCCCTATAAATGTTAATTACTATCATTATTATTTTCATTATAATGGTGATAAAAAAAGAGGGGTATAGAAACGAGATCTTTTAAAATTTATTCCAGGCATCATCCATTTACTCATTTCTTTGCTCAAAAGCTCAAAAGAAGTACCTTGGTTGTTGTATTGAGTGTGTCTACTATATTGGGGTAGGCATAATGGCTTTGGTAAAATCTCAAATAGGTGAAATTTGCCTCTAAAATCTCCTCACCTCCCTTTCGGCTTCTCTCATCCAGAGTATGGTTTTCTCCCATTGCCTTGGTGGTTGAGAGTCACTCACTGAAGTTCACCTTAGAAGGCAAAACTGTCACCTCAGTCATCTCCCACCAAGTCACCTGTGCAGGGTCCCATTTCCTCAGATACCTGGTTTAATTCATGCTAAGGTGTTAACNAAGTTCACCTTAGAAGGCAAAACTGTCACCTCAGTCATCTCCCACCAAGTCACCTGTGCAGAGTCCCATTTCCTCAGATACCTGGCTTAATTCATGCTAAGGTGTTAAGTTTTCTGGTCTGTTGGTTCATTATATTAACTTTTACAGATAATAAACTTGCATTTCAACAGGGGCTTGGTAGAGACACAATGCCTTATACAAACTAGTCTTTTTCATGTGGAATTTCAGAGCTCAAAGTGGACCCATGGGGTAAACAGCTTGGGGCAGATAAGATGCTAGCACCTGGCAAATTAGTTCACATAGAAAGTTTTGTCTATAGAAAGAAGGCTTGGCAGAGGTTGTGAGGTCTTCTGATCTGATGAAGCATACAGCTTAGTAAGAGAGAGAAGTATAGCAATTAGACAATAACAGAATAAAATCCACTGCATGGTATCATTAGATAATAATTGTCAGGTAGTATTCTGAGAATACATAAAATGCCAAAAGTTATTTAGTAGTGATAAGGAATGTTTATTGACTGCTTACTAAGTAATAGCATATTTTATTGTGGTAAAATATATGTAAGGTAAAATTTACCATTAGTGACATTTAGTTAATTCAGTGTTCTGTGACAATCACCACTATCTAATTCCAGAAGATTTTCATCGATCCAAAAGGAAATCCCGTATCCATTACACTCTCCATTCTCCCCTCCATCAGTCCCTGGCAACTACTAATCTGCTTTCTGTCTCTATGGATTTACCTATTCTGGATATTTCATAGAAATTGATTCATATAATATGTAGTCTTTTGGATCTAACTTCTTTCCTTAGCATATATTTTCAAGTTTTCATCTAAGTTGTAGCATGTATCAGTACTTCATTCCTTTTTATGGCTGGATAATATTCCATTTAATGGATATACCACATTTTGTTTATCCATTCATCAGATGACAGACATATGGGCTGTTTCTATGTTTTGGCTATTGGGAATAGTGCTGCTCTGAATATTCATGTACAAGTTTTTGCTTGGGCACCTGTTTTGGGTTTTGTAGGTTATTTACTTACGAGTGGAATTACTGGGTTATATGTTAATCGTATGTTTAATTTATTGAGGAACTGCCAAACTGTTTTTCACAGTTTCCATTTTATATTACCACCAGCAATGTATGAGGGTCCTAATTTCTCCACATCCTCACCAACTTTAGTTATTTTCCATTTTTTTAAAATTCTAGTCTTCCTAGGTGTGTGAAGTGGTATCTGATTGTGGTTTTGATTTGAATCTCCCTTATGACTAATGATGTTGAGCATCTTTTCATGTGCTTGTTGGCCATTTGTATGTATTTTTGGTAGCATTTTAAATACCTTATCTTGGTTAATTCTTACCATAGATCTGACAGGTATTTTATAGATAAGTAAACTGAAGCTTTATAAGTAAGATTAGGCAAATTGTCCGAAGTCATGGCTGAATTGGGTTCAAACCAATTTTCACACTCTGGATCTAGGGGAAATAAGACTGGAAATGATGGGTTTGTGTTACTGGAGAGTATCTGGACCTCTCAGTTTAAGAAAAACTTCCAAGGACAGCACGGTTATGATCAAGGCATGTTGGAAACAACCCACCTGTAAGGCAGGCCCATTGCAGAGGCTGAGCCCCACACAGCTGGGCGGGTGAGTCAGTTGTGAAATGTGTTTCTGGAGGCATCCAGCGTTCACAAAGGAGCCTCTACAGTCAATAGAAACTTTTATTTCCATTTTGTTTCTCATTGCAAAAAAAGGAAAAAAGAAAGAAAGAAAAATGAGAAGAAGAAATAGCCTGTCCTAATTATACTGAGATCTCATTTATTTCACAAAATGCCATTTTTTAATTAGCTAGAGCACTGGGGTCAGAATGTAGATGAAGAACTTAGACTTACACAGCCCAACAGGAACTGAATCCAGACTGGATTTCGAATTGCTGTTGGTTACTCAGGATAGCTAAATATCTTTGGAACACGACAGGCGAATAAAGAACACATGCCCCAGAGCCAGTACACTCCTAACCCACAGAATCACCAATCCGACAGCCCAAAAGAAGTGTGTCTTTGGATTGACACATGTCACCTGTATCACATACATGGGTGTGCCACAGGCACGCCACAGGGCATCGGCAGCTGGGTGGACTTTACACATATCTTATATACTACCCTGCTTCCTCCTTAGATAATTCTGCCATCGATTCCATAACTTGGAAATTATAATAAATAATACACATATGGTAATGAGAGTTCCTACAAAGTGCCTTTGATCTAGTAGCCTCTGTGAAGAACCCTCCATGGTAAAAAAGATGCCTAAAGTCACACGGAGATTGAGTCAAATGAGGGGTACTTTTTTTTTTTAATCCTCACAAGAGGATATTTTTTCCATTGCTTTTCAGAGAGAGTGGAAGGGAGGGAGAGAGGGAGAGAAAAAGGGAGAGAGAAATATTGATGTGAGAGAGACACACCAATTGGTTGCCTCCCACCCCCACCCCCACCAGGGCGAGGGAGACTTTTAAGTTCCAACCTATTTTACCCCAAATACTGAATAATCTTTCACTCTCTATGAGATGGTATTAAATCAGAAACATAGTCAAATGTACACTGAGACTAGTTAGAGAAACCAAAGGTTTGATGTCAGTAAGTAAATTTAAAGTGCCTACTGGGACAAAGCTAGCCGTCCGTGCCATGTGGGAGCTCCGTATTTTCCCAGGTATTGTGTGAGTAGCACTGGCCTGCCACATGCCTCCTGGACCCTGCCGGGTGTTTTCATTACACACAGAGGCAGATCTCCAGCCAACACCAGAGCTTTCTGTTTACTTTAAAGGAAGTGCAAAGTATAAATGTTTACAAAATCTGGACTAGACTGCCTGGTCTCCAAATGAATTTGGTTGTTGCTGCTATTGTTTTCTTAAATGTGTTTGAATGTGGACAGAGAAACTTTGGACAGAAAGGAGCGAGATTCACTCTAATAACTTTTCTCCTGTGACCTGGGCCTCCCGAGGGAAGAAAAGGAAATAGGCAAAAATTTTCTTAACAAGGATGGTGTCTGTGTAACATCACGCATATAAAATGTACAGTTATATTTTTAAGACATACTTTTTAAGGCACGTGATTTTAAAAAAAACTTCCCCCCAGAATCTTCTCTTCTCACACTAAAAGAAAAAAAAAATCTCTTAGCAAAAGTAACATTTACCTAAAGATCAGACATTAACGGAAACAACTGGAGAACATTTGCTGGTCCAGGCCTGATATCTGGAGCATTTGTTTCCTGGAGAGTGTGGTGAGATAAAGTGAGCTCTTTTATCCTTTGAGTGCAAAATACAGATGCCTTAAAATCCTGCCTTAGTGCAGAGCTTAATCAGAGATGGAGCTGAACTGTGAAAGCATAGATCCTTCACGACAAGATCTTTATACATACAACTGGCTGTATTTAGCACATAAACCCAACTGACTCTCTTTGAATTCCCTGGATGTTGTAAAAATACTCAATGGACCTTTCAAAGCAGTTACATGTCTATTTGAACTATGCAATTCCAAATTCAAAAAAATTTAATATCGTCTACATTTAAAAGTTTATAGAGCATTACAAGTAGACGTTACTGGCTTTAAAAAAAATGTTGTCTGCCCTAAAACACATTTCACGAAGAGTAATACCCCATATGAACATGGCTCATGCTTAATGTTAGATGCTAGTTAACAGGAACTATAGTACGTTTTCATCCGTTTTACTTTTGATATTATTTTAGTTTAACTTTACTACTTTTCCTGATCATAAGTGGAAAATAAGAACATTGTTGAAAAATAGAAAATTATAAAGAAATGAAAATCGGCTGTAATTGCAACTCCAGCTATAACAAATTTCAATGGTTTGTTCTATTTTTTTCTAGTCTCTTGTCTATGTTTGTATGAATGCATACACATATCTAGATATCTGTTTGCTTACGAAGTTGAATTCATACCTTAAATACTTTCTGTCCCTGGTTTCACCGAACATTATAAAATGAGGTTTTAACATATTATTAAATATTCTTTGAGCACAAACTTTTAAATGGCTGCATAATATTATCCTTTAACAATTTCAGTATTATTGAGCCTGTTTTTATTTTTTGTATTATGAACGATGCAGTGACGAGTATTTTGATAGGTAAATATTTGATCATATCTCTGATTATGTCCTTTGGATAGGCTCAATAATTGGAATTAAGTAAAATATAAATGTAAGAATTTTTTAAGGTTCCTAATATATTTTTCCTTTACTCTACTGAATGTGCCAAGGTAAATGATATAAACGCCACCAACAGTGAAAAAGAAGTGCCCCTCTATCTCATCACATTTTCATCCAGACGTACTTATTAGCGTCAAAAAAATAGCTTCCTGTTTGATGTGCCAAAACCAGCACATCACTGTTGCTTTTATCTGTTTTTCTTTAAAACTAATTGAACTATGCACTTAAAATTTGGGGGAAGTGGGAATTTGTTTTCTTTTTAAATTTTCTTTTACATTTCCTTTGCCCACTTTTCTTTTTTCTGTTAATTTAATTTTTTCTTTATTTTTGTTTTAAATACAAAATAGATGCTCAATATAAAATTTAAACAAAATAAATTATAAACAATAAAAATATTAAAGTTACCTTTTACCTTCTAACCCGTTTCTCTCCAACAGGCACAATTTGTTTGCATATTTCCTATGGACAGTTGCTTTTACAAAATACATAGGCATACATACACATCTACAGGGTGGTTTTTTTTAGCATAAATCAAATCATTTGCTTTTTCACTTAAAAGTATAGCATAGGTTTACTTGTCGTGCACATAGATACACCTTACTCATTGAAAAAACTATAGTATTCTGAAATTTGGGTGTTGTGGTGCATAATTTCACCATTTCTTTTATTTATGTTCACCCTTGTACATATATTTTTATGGTTGTTCAGGAATAAGAAGCTCTGGCATTTTCTATGCATCTTCCCTGTAACTGAGTGTAAAATATGGATTTATTTTTCATTATGTCTTTTTCTCAGAGAAGAAACTTCTGTTCTGCAGCTGAGGACACAGCTCTCACTAACTAGTTCGAAGAGCCAAGGGCAAAATAAGGGGCTCTGGTGGGTCCCTTTCTCCATGCTCAGGATGCCGGTACAGGATGACTGGAAAAGCTGCAGAAGGAGCCTGACACCCTCCTCCCACCCCCATTCTGAACTCAGAGAATAACAGCACAGCTATTCGAGGCTCTGGTGGGGAGGCGAGGGTGAGTCACCAGCCTTCAGCCAGTCCTCTGTCGAAATGGTGGCTTAATGCCTGTAGCTGTTGAGCAGGTTGCCACTCCTACAGACTAGGCGGCTCTGTTCCTATTATTGGGAGCTCGAAGGACAGCCTCAAGAGTTTGCACAGCTAGTAAGCTCTTAGCTTCTACCTCTAGGAAATAGCTTAAGAGGCCAAATACCTCAAGAGGCCAGAATGGGGAGAAGCTGCCAGGCTCAGCCACTTCGCCTCTTGCGTCTGAGTGTTCTGGGGAGACTGCCAGCAGAACAGGCACAGCCACTTGCCCGATCTGTCTCAGGTGAGCATTGCGGGTGGATTATGCAGAACCATCATTCACAATATCTTACTCCTGGAGATTCTAGGAGGGGAGCCTACAAAATCCATCCATTCAGCCATTCATTCATCAATCGTACATTTATTGGTTTCTGGAATCTTGTTGGGTAGCAGGGACACAATGACTAATAGAACATCATCTTTTCCCTCAGAGAGCTTGCTGTCTGTTAGAAAGACATAGGTGGGTGTGAAAAAATGATTATAATAACATATGATTGGTACTAGGCCAGATGTGAGTCCAAGGTGGGAGAGGCACAGAGGAGGAAGGGAGCTATATCTGCTTGGGGGATACGGAAACAAGGGAAAACTTCATAGAGCAGATGCTATTGGAGCTGAGTCTATTGGTCTTTCCAAACACCTACTTCCTCTGTGTCCTTGAAGCTACATCTGCCTCCAGAGCCAGGTGCTATCGGTCATCAGCTAGTGTCCAACAGCTGAGCAAAGTCACCCCAGTGTCCAGGATTGTGGGTAAGCCTTCAGCCTATGCAGAAGGCTTCTTAAACTAGAGATTAGTGAAAGCCTCGTGATCTCTCAGGGTCAAAGAACATGGATTTGAACCCACAGCGGAATTTCATTTGGCCTTTGTCTTTATTTAGGTTTCCCGTAAAAGCGAAATCTTCAGGAGAGGCAGAGTGAAAACAGATTTACTGTATATAATTTTGTGACAGCATTATCTCTGCCTCCTTCCAGGTCCAAAAGGCCTTAATTCCACTATCAAGGCCAATGGTAAAGAGAGAACCAGAACTGTGGCTTAGGACAAGAACCCAATCAGGGTGAGGAATTTCACAAAGGTAACAATTTCCTGTTTCATTGTATGAGGAAACCATGGTTATTTAAGAATTTAAATAAGTTGGGCCCTCACTAATAAAATTCATTCTACATTTGAAATTAAACTTTAATTTCTTAACAAATTAAATTCAAGCAATTAAATCTAGCATTATGGAGTGCACATGCATGGAATCTGGAGTCTGTTATTTCTCATAGGAAGAGCACTACTACACCCTCCTCATTTGT